GTTGACTAGACAATCCATCGCGATTCCCGGGGAACCGCATATCCTCCCGTAGGCTTCATAGGACACAGTCTCGTGCCTCTTGTCGCTTCATTACATCTTTCCGTGAATAGATCCCTGTCAGGACTTTTGCATTATATGCCACTTCTTGGGCCATCCGCCTTCCTCTCTCCTGACATGAGGGTGTATAAGTATGTATGTACTTCCGGAAGAAGAAATATCAAACCAGACGCCTGCTCATGCAACCTCATAATCGTTTCCGGCGTATGCCGCCGGTTTGGGCTGAATGATCGTACTCCCATCGCCGCATCACCTGTAAACACATCCGAATGGTATCAAACTGACCAAGTAAGCAAAGCCTGCGCGTCTTAACCAAACAAAGTTTCTATCAATTCATCCATGAACGTAAAGGCTAGGTGTGCGCTGAGAAAAGATGTCTTGTTAGCCACGTGACAACCAACGGCAATTCAGCTTTGCACCGACAACTTACTTGAGTCTCGAATTGTTGAAGGTTGCGAACACACGCCGGCTGGCTGCTTGTGCATTCACTCTTCCGACAACGCTTCCTGCTAGGTCGGGTATAAGAGTAGCCAACATCAAGCTGGCTTCCGTCCTCGTCTTCTTCTTCTCTGATGCCGTCCTCGGTTGCTTGTTCTTATTCATTTCACCACCGGGCCACATGCTATCCTTGAGCAGGGCGATGTACTTGATGATGGCATCTTCCTGTACAAGCATCTTGACATTGTCTCGAACCTTGCGCTCGATTGTGCCGCCCAGTAGCTGTTGAAGGACAACAACCACAGCACGCCCTCGAAGCCAGTTGTTTCCTCGGTTGAGTTCAAAGACTTCTAAGAAGATGTCGCATATAGGCTTGATGAAAGACTCTAGCTCCTTGTTCTCGAAAGCGTTCAGTTCAGCCTCGGCCTCAGCAGCGCTGACACCATCCTCGTTAACAGGTAGTGGCATAGCGTTCAGCTGGTTAGTGGCTGCTGCGATGAGATTCTGACCAGCCACAGACAATTGATCCAAGACAGGAATGTTGCCGAGGATGTCTTCCATTCCATCCGTAACGGAGTCGTAGAACCTTGTGATCATGTCTTTCTTGTCCTCGCGATCCACAAGATCTTGGCCTTGCGCTATCACACTTTGCGACAAGAATGCTCGCAGATCTCGACTCCTGCACGCCTCTGGAAGCTGAAGGAGATCTCGGAGATACTTCTCAAGGGCCGTCCGTCGTTTGCGTAGAAATTCACTCTGGAACTTCATAACCATCCTTCGCCTGGGAAATTCTAAGTTCCGAACAGAAGGATATCTTGAGCGAAGTCTCTGATGCAGATCGTGAAACTCGCTATACCGGCGAGTAACCATCCATGTCGCGGCTGGCATCTTCTCGCCAGCATCTCTTTGCACCTCGATCACATACAGGGCAAATTCCCTTCCATCGTCTTCCTTGCCGACTTGGATGGCCTTGATCTTGATCGTTGACCGCCCATACAAGCTGTTGTCGCTTTCTTGAACAACGTACTGTTGCCTTTGAAGTTCTTTGCGACGGATCTCACGTTGCAGACTTGCCTTGGACTTCCGCAGGATACGAAGCTCAGCCGTGTTGTTCGTGAGGTCCGCCTTCTTTGTTAGTGACTCGACAATAGCATCTTGTGCTATGAGGCGGTCAATATCATTGGACAACGCCGTGATAGCTTCTGCTAGCCCGAGGTCACCAGGGGCTGCCTCCTGGATTTCGTCCTCAACATCGCCTTTTGTTTCTTCCTCTGGATCGTCTCGTTCGTCAGAAAGGTACTTCTCCTCATCACCAAAAAGATCGTCATCTACAAACACTCCAATGCGAGATGCCGCACTAACGAGGCCAAGAGATGCAAGGCTTGGTTTGTCAGTTTCCTTGGAGGAAGCTGCAGGTCTTGACATTTCAAGTGATCCACGAAGGGATTCGTTATCTCCAGAAAATAAACTTGACCTGTCGACTTGATCATCCGCCCCAAACAATGATTCTCGAAACTCTTCAGCCGTTTGCGGCCGATTGTCCTCCATTATGTTGTTCAGAGCTTCTTCCATTGCTTGTACCACGTTCGTATCTGGCACAGGAGGCTTGCCTGCGTCCTGGTCAAGACTAGCGACCGAGTCCATCATGCCCTCCTGATCGAAATCGTCGTCGTCAAATAGCGGGGTTGAAACATCTTCCTCGAAAGAACGACGTTGCTTAGAGAGCGATTCAGAACCGTTCCCGTTTAGAGCGAGACTGGCCAAATCCGATGCAGAACCAGCTCGCCTTGACAGCGGTCGTGTTAACCTTGGGGCTATACGGGTGACAGGACTGGGCTTGAATTGGAAGGAATGAGAGCTTCGATGCGTCGGTGGGTGTGCTGGAGTAGACGCTGACGGCTCTGCAACGGGTAGTGCTGCACTTTTCGCCGACGCTTCTTGTGAGGCTAAACACTTGTAGAATAGATCAGACTTCTTGAAGGCCTGGAAGAATTGGGCTTGCATCGCGTCCAAGACAGCTGTCTGGGCCCTCAGGATTGCTCTGCGAGCCCTGTAGTACTGCTCGGGAGTGGCTATCTTGCCGGCGTTCAGGAAAGCGCGCACCTCATCTTGGGAGGCTTTCGAGACCTTCAGTTCGGGTTTGGATAGATATGCGTGGTCAATCTGGCCCAAATCCTCACGGTCAGAACTGGTCCACATTGGTAGATTGGACGGTAGATGCTCGTCATCTTGGCCCTCATCCTCCAAAGGATTGCGAAAGCCATCAACAACCAGCCAAAATTGGACCAGAGGCATCATGTGGTGACGATCCATGAACTCCATGAAATAGGACAAGCCTGATGCATCTCGGAGCAGGTCAACAAGAGATGCATGCTCTAGCTTGGAGGGTGCCTGAGGAACACCGGAAGGGCGGGCGGGCAAAGTCGCGGAGGACTGTCGACTTCCACCGGCAGCAAGAAGCTGGACGCGTTCATCCAGTAATCGCTTGCCCATTTCTAGTCGTCTGAGGTAGACCTGATCCTGATTTTCCTCCAAGGAATCCCGCTTCAACTGGCTCGCGACCTCGCTCCGTAGCCGCCTTGCATCCGAGAGATTGCCGACTTTCCGTATAGCGCGGATGAACTTCTCAAACTTTCTCTCACTATCGGTGGGCGAGAGACGGGGTATAATGGCAGCCTTGCCTGATCTCGGTGCTGGAGAAGCATGTTGATCCAACGCCGCCCTGAGCTTCCGGACTGTCGACCGATCTTGCAACATCGAACGCCCGTAGTTTTCCATAACTTGATTCCAGGTGTCCGGCTCGGCTAGGATTTGCATTACGGGAAATAGCACAGCGCAGGCGACGATCTCTCGGATGATGCTCGAGACGGCTCGACTGGCAAGCATGTTTGGCGGTAGGACTTTTGGCAGAATTCCAGACACCATCTTTCGTAAATAATCTTGCTGCACGAGCTTTGTGTCGGGGAATGACAACGAAGCTGCGGGATGGAGCTTCCCATCCTTGTATTTAGAGGCAATTGCGAGGTCCAGCTCCTCCGATTCCGTCACCGATCGATTGAGTTTCTTCCCTCGAACAGCTCGCTCGGCCTCGTAGAAATCGCGGAAATGGGCGTTGAGCATCGGTACGATTCGAGTGGTGACGATGTCGACGAGGTCAAGCTCCAAGAGGCGCTCTCGAATGTTGATGAGGGCATCGCGCACAGCTTTATCGACCTCGTTGGAGAAGACTGGGTTCTTGCTGATGTTGGAATACCACGAGCTGACAAAATCCCGTATGATGAGTTCGAGGAGGTCGTCGAGGGCTTTGGATATGCGTTTGGAGTTCGGGTCGAGAGCGACTTTCGTATAAGCCTGTCTTGTTTGAAGGCTTGAGACCTGTCGGGCCCAGGCCTTGGGTGCGAGGAATGCAGGGCCATTTGGTCGCGGGGATCGGTGTCGCAAACCGTGTCCGAAGCCGCGCGACGTAACGAGGACGAGGGCGAGAAAGGCGACAACGGTCAAGATGACCCCTCCAACCAAGGCGTATCCTACCCATCTCAAGACCGGGACCCAGCTAACAGCATAGCCCCAGGCTATGAAGCATGTGACGGCGGCAAGGATCAGTTCTCTTCCTTGCAAGGCCATATCCAGATCGGTTGTGAAGGGCGATAGGCTGTCGCTACATCGTACGTCGTCGATAACTGCGGTACTTTCGGGAGCTGCTGGGTTGGGAGATCTGGAGGAGAAGAAGAATAGGTCGGCTTGGCTGGGCCTTATCGATTTCAGGGGACGTGAAGGTGCGGGTCGAGAGACACGTGTGGATGGTGGATGGCGGATGATGTTGAGGTGTGACCGTTGGACGCTTGTTCCCGGTGCTTGCAAGGTGAGGGAGCACCTAGGCGTGTACCTCGGTGAAGTGTACCTGACCTCACCGTACTTACGTGCACATTACCTCAATTTGGGAGGTACCGTTTGTACTCTGCATAGCAGGTACAGCAGGGTACCTAGGCACTGACCTCAGAATACTAGCGGCTTTTGCAATACTCTTACCGTTGCTGCAGGCGCGCAGCAGGGTTGGGTGCATGAGGTGAGTCTCGGTGGGGCCCTGCCACTTGAGGTACCTCCGTATGCTTAAAATGCGCTTGCCTTTCACCGGAAAGCTACCATTAGGGCATGAGTTGCGTCGAGAATAGAGTTGGATGTATGTAACTATGCGGACTTTTTTGCTAGTGCATGAAGCTATAGCGGTGAAAAGCCCATGGGACTGAACGTATTGTAAATAGCCTCGACCATCGTCGGGCTGGCATGTACGATAGTAAGAGTTAAACATAAAGTGGCCTGTCAACGGCCTCTGACATACGTATTTTGAAGTTCAGTATTCCATCAAGACCAGGGCACAACATAGTCATCTCTGTGAATCTACGACAAGAGGAAAGGGGTATTATTTGAACTTTTTCGAGCCTCAGCACCGGAGTCTCTCTTCCCAGAGAGCCATGCCGCCATCACTCTGGTCAAGTCCTTGCCATTCACCATGGAGGATCTTCCAGCCTGCGGAAAAGCGCAATGTGCTTCTGGCCCTGATTCCGCGTCACCTTCTTGCTCTCCTCCGTCTCGGACGCCATCACCTTGACACACTCGTCCGCCTCCTGTTCTTCCTCGGACACACGCTCGAATGCAGGATGGGCATTGAAGTGGCCCACCATCCACTGATGCAAGGGTTCGACGTCTGTAATGGTGTACACGATGCCTCCTGGGCGCAGCGCAAAGGCGTATTCGGAGTTGAGCGTCGTTGATACGATTCTGGCCTTGTGTTTCCGTGCCTTGAAGTGCGGGTCGGGGAAGCAGATGAAGATCTTGGAGAGCTGTGCCTTTTTGAAAAAGTTGGGGAGAAACTTCATGCTGTTGGCTCGGAGGCAGCTGATGTTCTGGTACCCGCCAGTCTCCTGATTCTGAACTCTGAGGGCCTTGATGCGCTCCTGGACATATTCGGTAACCGAAGTGCGGATCTCGAGGCCTGCAGAGGGAAGAAGGGTCAGCACACTCACCGGTTGCGAGCTTAGAGAGTCCACCTACCGAGAATGAGGGTCTCTGGGAGGATCGGTGACAGAGCTACGGTCAAGCCTCCGAAGCCGCAGCCAATGTCAACAACCTCCACATCCTTCGTTAGACTGCGCGTTTTCGGCTTCGAGGCATCCAGGGTCATGGATTCCGTGACTGTAGGATCGGTGGAGGGAGTCTCATCGTTGGCTGCGAAGGCGGGATAGTACTGCGTCCAGTTCATGGAGTCTGGACTGGCCGGGCTTTATTTGGGACGGTGACAGTTAGCGAGAGAGTAGAGATCAGAGGGCGGCATGACCATTGAGACTCAACTAGACTAATTGATGGTCCGAGAAAGGGTTTGCATGGGCGCGTTGGCGGTAGAACTTCTTTTTGGGCAGTTCAGCCACGCCATCTTGGTTGCGCGCATTGCGATACTCCTCCCTCTTTGTGGTTTTGTTTTTCTTTTCCGGTCTACTCATGGCCAGTCGCTGGTCGAATCCGATCAATTACCTATGAAAAGAGCCTTAGAGAATGATTAGACACGTTCAAGCTGTCTTCGGGCAGAGAGACGGCTTGGGTGGGGAGTCGTCTGGTATGCGCTCAAAGTGAATATTTGGCCGCCTGAAAATCAAAAAGTTGCGATGGGAGCGGGCGGTGATGCATGGCGGGGGACGATGAAAGCTGCCGATTGGGCAGGCGGTGAAAATCGACACTCGACCTCCCCCGTGAACCTCAGGGTATCGGTACCTGAGTGATAAGCGATAAGAGCTGAAGGCCCGCCCGACGCACCCGTGCCCGCTGCGGGTTCCTGGCTGCGTCACTCGTTCCGGGTGATCAGCCACCCGCCAGTGTACCTTACAACCTAGTTAAGGTATGTTTTCCAACGCTGAAGAGGGGCCGAGGGCGCCCCTTTTGCCATCCAGAACACGACGGGAGGGTTTCCTAGATACAGGTGTAGGATATATCAGTGATGGACTTGTGAGAGAACAGAAAAGGCTCAGAAGGGAGCGGGGTGACTAAACTACCTTGGCCTTAAGGCATGGGAAGACATATAATATAGCCCCAGCTTCCATCGAATGGAAAGAGGGGGGGGGGGGGCACTCTCGGAAGATTACCAAAATGCCTTGTCACTTACAGAGTGGGAAAGTCGTTGCACCGTGGCCGCTTGATCTGAACTAAACACTAAAACGTGACGGAGGCGTCGGTCGGCCATCCCATGCTCTCTCCGCGCATCCTCATAAGCATCTATATCAATGCCTCCCTTTGCCTGATTATCCACCTCGGCACCCAACACCTGACTGTCTCACGACTGGCCCGCCCAAGAACATGGCCGATGGGAATATTTATTAACATAGAGACCCCCCAATTGCATCCCTCGGCGCAAAGGGTCCAACATCCCCAGCAACAACCCTCTACCTGATTGCTCAATCACGTCTCGTCATACCACTCTCAACATCCCTTTCGCTACCTGCCGTCAGACTACCTTAGATTTCTGCCGTTACACGCGCGACTGCACCAACCGGCCATTGCGATTCAAGAACACCCCGCCGCATTACTCCCTCCCGTCATTCTCCCATCATCGTCATCTTTCTTCAATCAATACCAATCTAAATAGCCAACGGCCCTCGCCGTTGCTCCCGCAATCCCCTGATGAATACTCACGCGCAAACCGTCTCGTGGTACGACACCATGATGACCTACTCATTACTACACTCCGACTATCCTACCATTGTCAGATACATTTCAGGCGCCTTTGTAAGCCCAGTAAAATTCATCCCAGCCGCCGCGTCGCTAACACTCCTTCAATAGATCGCACTGGGATTCTGCTTCTTTGGCCCTATCCTCCTCCTGATCGGTGTAGACATCGCTATCTACACCTATAGAATATGTTGGAGCCGTCCATGGAACCAAAACCAAAATCAGACGTCTTCGCGCGAGCCGAGGCACCTGTCGCAACCGCAAAAGGCACAACCGCCGCCACCACTGGAAGCCTCGGGTGGAACGACGGCCGTCCCTTCGACAGTGACAGATTCAGCGCGGAAACGTATACAGCATCCGAGCGAGTCCGGGACCGGGCACAGCTCATTTTCTAGGTAGAGCGAATGCGAGGTTATGATCAAGGGGCTGTGCTTTGAACGCAAGGTTTTTGCGAGAGACTAGAGCAGTAGCTCAATGGGCGTATAGGTCACGGTTGCGTAATGAGCTGCGAAAAGCGTTTCTCTCCTTATCCAGCGTTTTGTTTTTCTTCTTTCCAATGTGTTTACTTTATCGGGCTCCCAATCGTATCTGGGCGGTTCTCATGATTGAAGGGGAGGCTCGCTTCTCGTCTCGTTTGTTGAGGTTCCCTCATGAATGGGATGTCATAAATATTTACTATGAAGCCACAGGGGCAGCAGACACGAGTACTAATACGGAAAGCTACCTTCCTCTTGCATGGAATTTCGGGGTGCCATAAGATTCCAACTTCCGTAAACAGAACTTACGGGAAATAGCAATGTTTCCAAGGAATACGCGTAGTGGACGGTTTCAAAGTATTTGAAGACATCATTTCTAGGGTACCTGGAGCTCTGTTCTAGGGTACCTGTGGCGGTTTAAATTCTGTTTCTTGCTTTGAGGTAGCACCTTGGTGTCGCCTGCCCGACGTCCCTGCTATTCCGATAACGATAAGGGACTTTGGGGTGGGATTTCCACAGCGCTCACTGCGCACGCATGCGTCCAGGCAAGATCCTCCCACCTACACCACCTCCTCGACGAACGCCACCATTGTACACAGCGACGTCAAACACAGCAAGCATTCCTTTGGATTTCTGGTCAACCCGAGTGATACTCTCGGAGCACACCAAGATGCAGCACACCAAGACCCCGCAAGATCCAAACCTCTACGGTCAACCGCCGCCCAAGAAGCGCAAAAACGACACGGCCCTCGGCAGCTCGCTCGACTTCACAGCCCAACTCACCTCCCTCATGTCGGCCACGCCCTCCTCAGCACCCTCCGCACCAGCACGGCCTCGACCCTCCAAGGCACGATCCAGCCTCTTTGGCGGGAAAGGAAGAGATAACGACAGGCAGAAAAAGAAATCCGCAGACGCAGCTAGCAGCAGCAACAAGTTGAACCTAAAAGACCCGCTCGGCACGGAAGAAGAAACGTCAAACCTCGCCAGCGCACGGCGCAAGATGGAAGAGAAGGCACGCCTCTACGCAGCCATGAAGCGGGGCGACTACGTCCCCAAGGAGAACGAGGCGGCGCCCCTCATCGACTTTGACCGAAAATGGGCCGAATCCGAGGACAAGAAGAACGGCCGCCGGGAGGATGCGAGCTCAAGCGGCTCCGACGATAACGAGTCCGACGGCGACGGCAACGACGAGGACAACACAATCATAGAATACGAAGACGAATTCGGCCGTCTCCGCCGCGGCACAAAAGCAGACAAGGAACGCCTCGAGCGCCAGCGCCGGCGCGGCCTCCTCGGCGCCGAAGAGCTCGAACGCATGTCGGCCCGCCCCGCGGCCCCGGCCAAGCTGCTGTACGGCGACGCCATCCAGACCATGGCCTTCAACCCGGAGGACCCCGAAAAGATGGCCGAGCTGGCCAAGAAGCGGGACCGCAGCGCCACGCCGCCCGAGGCCAGGCACTACGACGCCGACAGCGAGATCCGCACAAAGGGCACGGGCTTTTACAAGTTTAGCAAGGACGAGGAGACGAGGCAAAAGGAGTTTCAGGGGCTCGAAGAAGAAAGAGTGCGGACGGAGGCGGCGAGGAAGGAGAGGGAGGAGAAGAAGGAGGCGAGGCGCAAGGAGATTGAGCAGCGGCGGAAAGAGGTCGAGGCCAGGAGAGCCAAGAAGATGGCTGAGAACTTTTTGGACGGGCTGGCCGCCGACATGAAGGAAGAGTGACGGTTGAGGAAGGCGGTGATTTGAAAATGATACCCAGTAGGCAGCACATTTGCATTATGAGAGCAAGGCCGTTTTGCCATACAATGTGGTTTCTTTCACGTGTGACTTTGAATTCCTCTATGCCTACCGCTCTACACATAACACTACGACTAAGATAGGAAGACTTGCAACATGAATAAATCTCTTTAGGTAAGTGTGTGGCCTACTCTGAGAGGAATCGGCAGGCTATATAAGTAAACCTTTCTGCCGTCCTACAAGTGGCTTTTTGGGGGCATCTTTGCCCATCCATAGGTATTTGCCAAATATGTATACAATCGCCTGCCTAATTGCGCCTACTGAATGACGCCCATAGATGCTCATCCATATCTCAATTGACGCCCCCAAACAAAAGAAGTCAACAGCCGCATTAACGAACACAGACTGTTGACGCAAAAATGGTGTGTGGTACATTAATCCGTACAGTAAATCATGGTTGTGGTAGTGACTTTGTCCGTCATGGTCAAAATGGGTGTTATGTGAACCACCATATACATCCACAGTCGCTAAGTTGACTTGTCCTTGATGGCCGGTCTCGAGGTGATACCAAGAGGCTGTCTTCGTGTATCCAACGTTTGCTCGAGTCTGCAATTGCTACCGTTTGCCGGTTTTCCATGATCATGACCTCAATTGGCTGGCCCTGATCGTCTAGTACGGGCACGGTGTTCTGGCCGTCATCGCAGACTTCGACTTGTCGGCAGTAGGCATTTTTCGTTTGGTCGAGCGAAACACGTCGCTCTTCAAATTTGATGACCTGAGGGTAAGGTGGTGGTGGGGCACGGCGTGGCCTATCAGTCGGGATTGGACTTGATTGGGGAGACTGGGTTTGCAAGCCGCGGACTAGAAACTGCGTCGTTGTTGAAGGAGGGAATGTTGCTGCCGCCGGAGGCCTGGACGTCGTAGTAGAAGGCTTTCTTTGATAGCTGTTGTTCTGGGCAGGGTAGACGAAGACTTCGAGAAGGGTTCCGGGCCAAGTACAGATCCAAGGCCGATCGCCGGCCTGTGCTCCTTTGACCCCTTTCCTACTGAATTCAGACATACCAGGCGGTGGTCCATCCCATGATCCGCCTCGTTTGGACTGTGGCTGTTGCTTCTTGGGGGTTGAGACGACGCCAGGGAACCTATCCTCAGGTACGACCACGGTCTTGTTGTATGTCATCTGGGCGAACCATGCGGCGCCGCGGCCTTGTTCTGAGGTGTCATTGACAAGACGCATCTTTAGAGGATCCATGATCAGTGGTGGTTGAGTACCCCACGAGAACATGTTGATCCTAGAGTTATCGTCATGATCGCTGTCATTGAAAGTAGTAAGTTTTAAGGTGTAATCAGATATAGGTAGTTCATTGGCGATTCTGGAGACGCCCATGACGTAGCTGGTAAAAGGAATGTTGCAGGTCCAGGCTTGGGCTTGCGTTGTGTCGTTGAAACAAGTACTTGGTGCCTGGCTTGCAATGAGAGGCGGCAGACCGAAGGTACCAATCTCCATTGGTGGAAGATCCGGTGGAAGAGTAGCAAGGGGCTTCACATCAACCGTGGCTGTTGGGATGACCACTGGTATAGGCTCATCGTCCTGATGCTTGCCGGGCGGCTTTTTATGCTTGGCGAAGAATGTTCCGATGACAGCACCGAGAATAATACCCCTAGATATGGTTAGTGACATCAAACAGAGAAGGGAAGAATTTTATATCAACTCACATCATCACCAGTCCAACTGCCAACAAGCAGATAGCCCAGTAAGGAACGACACCAAACAACCTCTTCTTTGCCCTCTTCTGCCATTTGCGGTCGGACGCGTTTTCGCCCTTCTCGGCGTAGGACTCGGCAGCGGTGTTGATCTCGTGTTGGCTAGCAGTCTCATCATTCAGCGTCCGAGAAGATGTCCGGGATGGCGATGAAAGACGTAAATCCTCTCGTGACTCAAACTCGGGGTTGCGTGTCGCAAGTCCGATGCCGCCAGCGCCAGCAGGAATGGCGGGTACCGTTGCAGTCATGACAGTGACGGCAGTTTGTTGTGCCGGAGGTTGTTGTGCCGGAGGTTGTTGCTGCTCTGGCTGCCGTTGTTGCTCTGGTTGAGATTGGACCGGAGGCGTCGATGATTGTGGTTGTTCACCAGGCTGTTTCCTTGTATAGGCCTGCTCGGGATACCGAGTGTAGGGCGGAAGCTCTTCGGTATGGCCCAATGGTCCGATCAGGTCAGCAGCTTCCTCTCCATCTGGTCCAATGCGGCGGTGATATCCATCGGAGCGACCAGCAAATCCCACGGGGATGCTGTCACCATCGTTCGTGTCGGGGGTTACGGTGTTTTGCGTGTAGAGTGTATATGGGTGTGTCGGTCCGCGAGGCCCGGCGTATGATCTTTCAGACATGCGAGCGGTGTTTGACGTCGCGACACTGTTGGTACGTTGCGGGTACATTTGGTACGGGAAGGACGGTCCAGATGGTCCCTCGTAGGGGCTCTCGGACCTAATTATTGGCGAATCGCTCGAGGCACTGGAGACACGAGACATTGGGGCGCCGTTGGATTGGGATTGAGACGTCGAGCCATCGTGACGGAGGGCTAGCGGATCGTGGGAACGAGGAGGTTTTGAAATGCTGGAAGGTCGGGGTGGTGTGACGCGCTGAGGCACGGGAGATTCTCGTGACACAACCGCCGAGCCAGTCGAAGGGTTGGTTATCGAGTTGATGGGTTGATGGGAAGCAGAGACGTTGGCTGGGCGAAAGCCGTCCGAGATGCCCATTGCGGCTAGGTCGTAGTCATCATCGTCGGCGGTCAAAGAAGCCCTCACTGACATCCTGAGGGAAGCCCTCCGCTCGTTGCCTGCCTTGTCGTGGAATGGATCCATGGTGATGGTGATTCGATGGTCGGGTTTCGATGTCGACGAGGAGCTGCGGCCTGTTGAGAGTGTGGTGGCACCAAGTTCACAACATGGGCGTCCGCCGCTGACCCCGTAGGCCCAAATCCAGATCCAGTCCCGGCCTCAACCCGCGGTTGCCTGCGTCGTTAACCCTCTGCCGATTGTGCCGCGCTCCGAACCAGTCGTCGCCCAAGATAGTCGAAAAGAATCGATCGAGTGAGTCGACAGGATTGTGATTACGAGGTTGTCGGGATTTTGGTGGTGAGTGGTGGGCAGGTGTGGAATCAGTAGTGTGCAAGAAAGAGAGGCAGGGCGTGGGTAGTTGGGTCGTGGAGGAGAAAGAGAGGGATAGGCGTAGGACAGGGCGAAAGAGGGAGTGAGCAGGAGAGTGCGGGTGCGGGAGGGTAATACCAGACAAGGTTGGACGATTCAGGAACAGTTTGGGTTTGGGGTCCGACACGAAGCGTCCGGGACGTTGATTGGTGGGAGGCCAGGGGTTCCTCTTTTTTCCCTTCTCTACCGGCTGCGGAGGCAGGATACCCAGGGGCCGTATTCAGAAGCGAGAGAAGCCAACCCGTTGGAGACTTTCCTGCTGGAACCAAGAAACGACCGGGGCTCCCTTGACGGTGGAGAGGAAGTGGTACTACTTATGGGTACCTGGCCTTCAGGCACATCACGGCGTGATCAATCTGTATTGGAAGTGTTACCCAAATGTTGTCCAGGCCAGCCCGGGGGGGAAGGAAGAGAGAAAGACTCGAGAGGAAGAAGGAGAACAGGCTATGACCCAGATGTACTACGTAGTATGTACATACTGCGTGGGAGGCGTGGGCACCGGGCAGAGAAGGTGCGTGCTGGGTGAGTGACATGGAGGGACAAGAAGGGGAAACCGTGCCGTCTTTGGGAGCACTGAGCCGGGGGGCCGGGCGAATCCATCACAAAGACGCCCGAATACAGACAATCCATTGCTAAGGTCCAGGGAGTAGTGGTACAGCCGTTGTCTGTATGTCGCAGCAGCTGGATCAAGTACACTCTTCCGACACGACTAAGACGAGGAGCGTGTGGCCGTGTACGTGTATTCTGGCCTGGCGTCAGCAGGCTGCAGACAGCGATGATGGGAAGACAGGCTGGGCAATGTCACAGTCTCGTCGGAAAGACAAAAGACTGGCGGGCGGACGATGGGTATCTTGCTCTCGTTGACTATCAACAAGATGTCGTGGTATCTATCTGTAGTGTAGTGTAGGTAGTCACGTAGTCTGCGTGTCTGACCTTTCCTCGGCGATCTCTCTGTTCTTCAAGAACAATTGCCCGTATGTACATGTACGGAGAGTGCTAGGCGGAATCCGCAAGTACAGCCCTACCTAGTAGACTGCAAAGTCTACTTGCCTTTCCTTAGTAATAACGGGCAGAGACAGAATCGAGGGTGGAGGAGACAGGAGCAGCACCAATGTGGGACTCCGGACAGCCCTCGGCCGGCGCCTCCCTGAAGGTGCAGGTGCAGGAGTTCGTTTGTGTGTGAGACGGGTGGGGAGGTGCAGCATTGGCGTCTGGAGTGAACAAACGCTAAATAAGTCCAAATCCACCGAATCCGCCCCGCTCACTGCCCACTGCCCAGATCCACCCAAACAGACTCGGTCGTTTATCACCGGCAGGGAAGGTCGTTAACTCATACCAGCTAACCTACTCCATACCTACCCTATCCGCCTTTCCGCACCTCAGTATCCGTACGGAGTAGGTAATACCTACCACTGCCTATATTCTACCTCACCTAAGGTCCATCATACGTTGGATAGTAGTGGCACAATACGCAAAGCAAGGTATCCTTTCGTTCCATTCGTAGATCCATCTATCCGTAGATGCTATGATTACTCACCAAGCCGTCCTCAAACATTTGCCTCCAGGTATTCTCTATCACACATAGTAAGTAGACACAATGCTACTGCGGGGAAAACTCGTGGCTCTACTGCGTATACATCACAAGAATAGACCGAGGAGAACATGGTCGGCTGCCATTCGGTGCTTCATCGTTTCTTCCTTGTCTGGCATTCTTCCCACCCACCCACAGCGTGACAGCGCCCACGCCCAAGCACAAATCCCGTAAGGAGTAATGTA